AGAGGAAGAAAGGGGGAGGAAATAGACGAGAAGAGAGGAGGTTGGAGGAGAGGAAACAGAGGAAAATGAGAAGAGGAAGGGGAGGGAAGGGGAAGAAACAAAGGAGAGGAGAGGGAGAGAGAGGAAGAAATAGAAGAGAGGAGAGGAGGAAACAGAGGAGAGAGGAGGAGGAGGAGGAAACAGAGGAGAGAGGAGGAGGAGGAGGAGGAGATGGTAACAGCAGTGATGTGTCGTAGCTGAGGCGTACCGTCCATCATCTGCTGACCCTGGTTCAGGTGGTAGGCAGGAGGTCTCTCGATACTCTCCTCCAGGGGGAAAGAGACCTCATAGGCATCCAGATACAAACCTCCTCCTCCTCCTCCTCCTCCTCCTGAGGATGAAGAGTGGGGCATGTAGTGCTCTGACAATCACACAACAACAGAAGATTAGCTGAAAGAAAGTTCACATTCATTTACAGACCGCCTCCTCAACCATCATCACAAAGTTAACACCACACATTCACTCAGCCTGTCCAACGTCTACTAATTAAACTCATCATAAGACTAAATGATCACAGCAGCCCCCAAAACAATCTGAAAAATGTATTTCTTTATCCTAATAAGAGTCAGAAACTCAAAGATATTCACTTTGCAAACATTTAAAACAGAGAAATGTAGAAAATCCACACGTTTTAAAAAGCTGGAACCAAAGAATCCATAAATCTTTGCCTCATAAATCAACAAGTTAAACAATAAAAGCAATATCTGAAGTGCTGTGTGATTGTTCCAGCTCTAATAATAAAGTTATACATTATAATATTTGTACAAGTGACAATAAAAAGTAAAACACACATGAAAATAAATCAACAAAACAGAACATCAGTAAAATAGTCATAACACAGAAAACCAGATGCTGAGTGTATGAAACTAAATGAGATATTAGGGCCTGGAATCGATTAACTATCGATAATAACGCCTTTTTAAAGAGCTTATTTAGAAGCAGGGAGGGATTTCTCCACATGTGCACAGCCTCTGTACCCCCCCACCATGAGAGACTCCTCTCACACTGTCACAGGTTATCTAAACGCTGCGGATCCCGTCACAAGGTGGATACGCCATTTAAACGTTACCTGGCGGGCTCGTATCGTCCCTGCTGGTTGGAGGATTCATGGCCGCGGACAGGTGTGTGTCAGGTGTGTGTCAGGTGAGTCGGTGCTGATGGGTAATAATAATAACACTTTTGGGATGAACTCGTTATTATTTGTGTTCAGTTATACTTCTGTAATACGACGTGAACCGACCCGCTGCTCCGCTGCTGCCCTGCTCCCCTGCGACCACATTTTCACCAGCAATTACCTGATTATAAGTGGCCTCAACAGGTGTACCGCGCAGGGGCTCGCACATGCGCACAACGACCGTCCTAGCTCACCTGAGAGAGGGAAAAAAGTCCAAACGCTTTTTTTTATTTGTATGTTTTGAAGCTTTCTGTGACTCGTGTCTGTTTGAAGGACAGAGCTCACACTGAGAGGGTTTCTAGCTCTTTTTCATTGGGAAGGTTGGCGGGTTAAAAGTATTGGAACGGGTCCAAACTCGGACCGGAAACGTGTCACGTGTGGGCGGCGCGCAGGTAGGCGGAGGACACCTGAGAAGGTAAACGCGGAAGTAAAAGAAAGACTCGCTTCAGAAAAACACGACAGAGAAACATTTTATACTGCTGGACGAACAACAAGAACAACAAGAACAACACGTGAGTTAAAGTTGATTATTAGTTTGAGTTTGTTACAGAACTATAAGTTGAAGTCAGAAACAGTCTTACCTGTCCAGGTGAGTCGGCGCTCTGCAGTGATTCTCTTGGATCATCTGTCTTTGTTTTAAAATGTTCACAATGAAATCCACACCTTTAACCCACCTATACTCACTTCTTTGAAGGGTTTTACTTTACGGACACATTTCAGGTGTTTGAACTTTACTTGTGCGTTTTTCTCCTCGTGGCTCAGGACAGTTTATTTTACAAATTAAACTTTTTACACACAAAAACAACAACAACATCAAAAGACTGGATTGTCTCAGTAATATGAAGATTTGCTGCTTGCTTTTTAATTGAATGTATTTTAATAATTCAGGTTTTGTGGACAAAACCAACTGTTGTAGGTGACACTTTGGGCCCTGAGCAGATGATACCATAAGTAATAATATTCATTAGTTGCAGTCTTGTTCAAAATGAGCTCCACCTCATCAACTACAACAGTAAAATCCTGCTTTTTTTGGACACTCTTTTATTAAAATAGTATTTTATTTTGAAAGTCTTATGTGATAATAAATTAATAGATAATAAATCTGAAGTTTCTGGACTGTCGGTCAGACAAAACAA